GGGAAGCTCGGTGGGGGCCGATGTGAGCTACTGTCAGCGGCGTGATTATCGGGTATAACCGTCGGTCCCGAGATTACCGGGTGTAACCGACGGTCCCGAGATTACCGGGTGTAACCGTCGCGAGATTAGCGGGACTACCACCCATAAGTAGAGGACTTCACTCCACGATCAGGTACGATGATTTCTGACCTCAAACTAAACTGGGAATCCGACCTATACTGACTTGATCGTCAGAGTGCTCACCTTTTTGTGCAGGTCCGCCTAAGTATTCTGATCGGTCCGGAGGCCGAGTTCGAGCTGCAATCTAAAATACACTGTTGTGCATATCCTTGCATAAACAGAGCTTGTTGCTTGTTTTTTCAGAGAAGGTGAAAAAAAAAGAATAGGAATGGGAAAAGGCGGCTTAGGAGTGATAGCCTTTTTTGGTGTCCTTAGAGAATGATTTTTTTTATGGTGGGTAAATAAGAGAGAGAAAGTTGGTTAACTTTGTAACGATATGAGAGAGGAAAGAGGAGAGAGAGGGGGAGAAAGTAATAAATTCGAGAAAAAATGAGGAGGGTAAATACGTATTTTCACACAAAATTGATGTCAGCAAATGTTTATAAAATATAAAAATGAGGAAAAGGGCCACATTTCATAATGGACCATTTAGCTCGATTGCTGTTAAATTAAACTTAAACACGCAAGAATTTTTGTATATTATAAACTTTTTAAAACCAAACTAAACATTTACGAACTTTAAAAGTCAATCAAAGTTTTAATTCAACTATTTTCTTTTCTTACTTTGAGTTTAATTTTTGAATTTTTATTCACTTATATTCATTTCAAGTCTTTTTTTATGGTCTTTCATTTTTCACTTTAATTTTTAGATTTTTCAATAAATTTTACATCTGAACCCACAGTTTTGTTACTCAAAATCTCAATTTCATCTTACTCGACATTATTTTATATATATACATAGAAATTTTGCCAACCGATAATTGACATCATTCCCGCTCATAGAGATAAGTAATTCTATATGAAACCGACCTACTAGTTTACGTAAATAACCCATCAAAGACTCCGAATCTCTCCAACTCTAATCCTCTTTTGCCACCCTATACATAAAAAAAAAGGGTAGAACATTCAACTTTTTCCTTTTCCTATAATGTAAAGAGAATAATTGAGAGGCAGGTGAAGAAAAGATACAGCTACAAAAAAAGTAGATTAATTAGCTTAATCCACACACACAAACCAAATAACAAGTCTCTAAGATGCTCCACTTGTTTCCATCTCTCACATTAACTGCTCCCTTCTTCTTCAATACAACTAGAATCTTCCCTTTCTTAAAGCCCTGTTCATACTTCCTTTTTTGTCAAAAATATCACAAAAAGAATAAAACTTAATACCCACATAAAGAAAAAAGAAAAAAAGCCATTGATGTTTCTTGAGGTTTCTCAGAAATTGTAGTGGTTTAAATACCAGATATCTCCTTCTTCTTCTCTTGCATAATTCAAGCCTTGTGTTGGTGAAGATGAGTGATCCAAAATATGGCTATCCTTACCCACCTCCTCAAGGTAAATTTTCCACACCAATCTTCACTAATCTGTTTTCGAATTCGAAATTTAGTGAATTCGAAATTTCGATCGGTAACAAAGAAGATTACCGATCATGTCTTTACTGTCGAACTATGCTTTCCAGTTGTTTGTTGCGGTGAAATGTTTTGAGTGTTGTGATACTTATTTGGCAGGAGGTTATTATCAAGGGCCGCCAGTGATGGCGCCACCGCAATACGCGGTGCCACCACCGAAAAGGCAGCCAGGCTTCTTGGAGGGATGGTATGCCAAAGCAACTCTCGGTCTCGATTTCGGTTTCGATTTTGGTTTTGTTTTGACAGAGGTTGGGTTTTGTTTGGTTGTTGTTGTTGCAGCCTTGCTGCTCTGTGCTGCTGCTGTCTCCTTGATGAGTGCTGCTGTGACCCTTCCATCATATTTCTTGCTTGATGTCAATCAAAGCTTTGCCCATTCTGATTCAAAGACTTCTCGTTTCTTTGGGGGTGATTTGTTTTTGGTGTCAAGTTTGAATGAAGATTTGATTGCTGTGTAGGAACAAGGCTTTTGTTTTGTTGCAAGTACAGGTGGTTTTTTTTTTTTACAACATATTAGAGGGGTTTCGAACTCACGACCTCTTGATTGGAGGTATATATTAATTACCGCTGAGTTATGTTTACTTTGGCATAGGTATAGGTAGGTTATAAATTTAGTTCTTAAACTTTGACTGACGTTTTCATGTAGTATCTATATGTTGTTAATTACAGTCGATTAATGTCGATATAGTATGTTGATTTGCAACTCAGGTATGTTAGATAAAATGATAATTATTAGTCGTGCAAAAATTAGAATAATGCATTAAGTCTAAGTTTCAAATGTTATTTTGAGACGTGTCCTTTAGATAGAAGTTATGATCTCTTTGCTACCTCAAATTTTGTGGCAATTTTAAAATCACGACAGATTTCAAATAAATTCCTTTGTTTGGTATTGGATTTCAAATCTTGTTTTCATGTAAAAAAAATCGGATCAAAATGGTTGGATTTTGTAGAATTTCAAAGTAAATTACTATTTAACCTCGTCGTATAATAATTTCTAATTAATAAATTTAGATTAAAAACTTAAATCACTAGATTTTTTATTAATTTTTTTCCTTTTCTGCACTCATCCAAAGAAATTTAATTTAATTCATCTAAAATTATTCTGATTCCAAACCAGATAAAAAATTAAAATCATTTCTCGAATTTCAAATCACGAAATTTAAAATAATTTCTTGAATTTTCTTGACGCTAAACGGAGGGTTAAGAGAATAAAGTTTTGGAGCGTTGAGTTGAAAAACTTTATTTCAAATCACGAAATTTAAAATCATTTCTCGGAGGGTAAATATTACGCTGTATATATGAACTATGTAGTACTGACAAACAGATTACAACGTAACTGGCTACAAATGATATAAATTTGAACAACTTGATGAACACTAAAACTTGATAAAATAGTCGAGGCACGCTTCAATAGCGCTGACCTGAAGACAATTATTCGCTCTGCATAAGTTGCTAGCAGACTACAGCAATCGTCTCAGTAGGATACAACGACTAACTCCGATAGAACTGCAACCTCGAACTACTCAAATCTAGCAAAACTCCTAGACACTTGCTATCAACACAAACAAGAACAAGAGCTCAAAAAGAAGAGAGAATTCTTGTGAGAGGAGGAGAATACTCAATTGAGGTATGCTTGGATAAGAAATCCACAACTATATATAGTTGTACAAACAAGTAACATCTCACTCAAAATTAAACACATATGTAACTTTTTTACATATGTTACATATGTAACTTTAACACATGTATTTGTAACTTTAACAAAATAATAAAATAACTTAAAATTTAATAAACTAAATAAGCAAAATATTATAAGAATAATATTCACAACGTATATGTGAATAATTTATTCTAAGTTTCACTTTCTTTCACACTTTAAAAAACCAACAATCCCCCACATGAGAGAAAGTAAGAAAGACAAAACACGACCAAGACGTTGAGAGCGAGCAGATAAGTTATGCATCAGGAGAGGTGTCTTTTGGACTTGAACCTTCCTTAGTGAATATTTATCAAATTTATCTAAGAAATAGTGAGAACTAGCTCTAGAATTATCCTTCTTATGATAAATTGAGACAACAAATATTACACATAACTTATCTTGTATCTTTGAGTTCTATACAGTTGTGGCCATTTTGGTCCTGGACAAGATCCTGAATTCATGAGAGCTTTAGAGAACATAAGCCATTTGAAAAGTTCTCATAGAACCGACCCAATTTTACTCTCACATAGGTGATATTGATTAAGAGTATTCTGCCACTACCCCTCTTGTAATCAAGATATCAATATGACCTAAACATCAACAGATCACACACATAACATCATACAAATGAGAAGAAACTATAAGTTTCTTAGTGTGTCAACTATGAATTATCTAGCTAGTTTGCCTATTGAGCCTAGATCTTGGGATCTCCAGTCAACTAGGTTAGGTTACCACCAGATATTTCATTTCATAGGCTTTAGTCCCATTTCCCTCGACGTATATGCAACTTTCTCTCGAGACAATCCTTTCGTCAAAGGATCTGCAACATTCTCTTTTGATTTTACGTAATCAATGAAAATTATTCCATTAGAAAACAATTGCCTGATAGAATTATGTCTACGTCTTATGTGTCGTGACTTCCCATTGTAGACATTATTCTTAGCTCTGATTGAGGCTGTTAAGCTGTCACAATAAATACGTATGGCACTTACAGGCTTCGACCACAATGAAATATCTTCAAGAAAATTTCGAAATCATTCTGCTTCTTCTCTAGCTTTATCAAAAACTATAAACTCTGATTCCATAGTAGACCGTGCTATACACGTCTGTTTTGAAGATTTTCATGACGCAGCTGCTCCATTTAAGGTAAATATATACCCACTGGTTGACTTAGTCTCCATGCTATCAGAGATCCAGTTAGCATCACTAAATCCTTCAAGTACAGATGGATATTTGGTATAATGCAATCCATAGTCAAAAGTGTACTTCTAAAACTCTGACTAGAACATTCCAATGATCATGCCCAGATTGCTAGTGTATCTTCTCAATCTTCATACTGAATAAGCAATATCAGGTCTTGTACAATTCATTATGTACATTAAACTACCCACAACTCTAGAGTATTCTAGAGAAAATACACTTTCACCATTATTCTTTTTCAACTTACAATTTGGATCAAATGGGGTAATTACTGGCTTACTCTCAAAATGACCAAATTTTCTCCACACTTTCTCTATGTAATGAGATTGAGAAAGTCTATATCCATTTGGATTTCTTGTTATTTTGATTCCAAGGATAACATCAGCAAGACCAAGGTCTTTCATATCGAAGTTGGAATTCAACATCCTTTTAGTGGAATTAATGACACTTCTAGTTGTGTTCATTATCAACATATCATCCACATATAAACAAACAATGACGCAATCTTTATCTATGGTTTTAACATACACACATTTGTCATACTCATTTATCTTAAATCCATTAGATAACATAGTGTGATCAAACTTCTCATGTCATTGTTTGGGTGCTTGTTTCAACCCATGTAGAGACTTGACAAGTTTACAAACCTTATTTTCAAGTCTTTTTACAATAAACCCTTCAGGTTGTTCCATACACATTTCTTCATCTAAATCTTCATTTAAAAATGCAGTTTTTACATCCATTTGGTGTATTTCCAACTTTTGTAAAGTTGCTATAGCAATTAACATCCTTATAGATGTAATCCTCGTCACTGGAGAATAGATATCAAAGAAATCTAACCCTTCTTTCTGACAATAGTTGTTAGCTACTAAACGGGTTTTGTATTTATCAATAGTGCCATCAGCTTTTAGCTTTCTTTTGAAAATTCATTTACTTCCAATTGGTTTACTTCCAGGAGGTAAATCAACCAATACCCAGGTATTGTTATGTAAAATAGATTCTATCTCACTATTGATTGCTTTTCTCCAATAAGGTTCATCTGGAGATGACACAACTTTTTGAAAATTTTAAGGCTCCTTATCTATCATATAAGTTATGAAATCAGGTACAAAGGAAGTAACTTTCTTAGCTCTTTTGCTTCTTCTAGGTTCTATCTCAGTTTCCTGATTGTTTTGACCTTTCGAAGAGCTAGTCTCATAATTCCTTTTGGTACTATTACCTTTCGGTCTTTCTTCCTTAAAAGGAAATATATCCTCACATAATTCAGCTTCAATAGATTTCATGACAGTATTATGATTAATATCATGTATTTCTGATTTAATCACCAAGAATCTATAAGCAGCACTATGCATAGCATAGCCTATAAAGACACAATCAATTGGCTTAGGTCCAAGTTTTGTCCTTTTTGGTAAAGGAACTTGTACCTTTGCCAAATACCCCCACACTTTGAGTATTTTATATGAGGGTAACTTCTTTTTCCACACTTCATAAGGTGATTTATTAGTCTCCTTATGTGGAATTTTATTTAAGATAAAATTTGCTGTATGCAAAGCATCCCCCCACAAATTATGGAGTAAACTTGAACTATTTAACATGCAATTAACCATGTCCTTTTATGTTCGGTTATTTCTTTCAGCTACACCATTTTATTGTGGTGTATCAGGTGACGTAGTTTGATGGATTATACCATTAATTTCACAAAATTTAGAAAGTGATGATGATTCATATTCACCACCTCTATTTGATCTAAGCACTTTTATTTTCCTCTCAAGCTGATTTTCAACTTCTGCCTTATATGTTTTGAAAACATCTAAGGTTTCATCTTTACCATGTAATAAATATACATAACAATATTTACTACAATCATCAATGAATGTGACAAAGTATCTCTTACCACCTCTTGTGGGAGTATTTTTTAAGTCACATACATCACTGTGGATTAAATCAAGTAATTCATTACTTGTTTCTATAGATGAAAATGACTTTTTAGAAAACTTTGATTCAACACAAACTTCACATTTGTGTCTATTATCAATGTTGATATTAGGCAATAGTCTTAAACTTACCATTCTCTGTAACAAATGATAGTTGACATGCCTCAGCCTAGAATGCATACATCACACAACTCAACAATATAAACAGAAGAGTTATTATTATTATTCTTGGCACTTGTGCTAGTACATTCAATTTAAACATGTCATCATTTAGATAGTCTTTTCCCACATACATACCTCCCTTAGTCAGTATAAACTTATCTGACTTAAATACAAGTTTCAACCCATTTTTGTTTAGTAGGGTTCCCGACATAAGATTCTTTCGAATCTCTAGCACATACCACACATCAGTGAGGGTAAGTATCTTTCCAGAAGTCCATTTCAGCAAGACTTTTCCTCTGCCTTCCACTGAGGCTGTTGAAGCATTTCCCATGTAGAGTTTATCACTCTCATCTAACTTCTCATAAGTGGTGAACAGTGATTTGTCCCCACAGACGTGCCTAGTAGCACCAGTATCAATCCACCAGCCTTTGGTGTCAGAGGCCATATTTACCTCAGAGATGACAGCAATTAAATTGTCATCTTCCATAGTGTTGGCCTGGTTGTTGGAGCTTTGTCCATTCTTGTGTCTAGAGTTTGCATCTATACGACCACTCTTGCCACAAACCCAACAGATTGCACGAATGCGCTTGTTAGCATCATTCCTTGGCCCAAGATTCACATTCTTTGTCTTGAATTGATTCTTGCTCGGATGACGCCTTGAAGCTTCAGCAATATAGGCATTAGCTTCAACTTTACGTGGCTCTTTGTCTTCTTTTCTGTTGTCCTCTTCAATGCGAAGTTTCACAGTAATATTCTCCATGGACAACTCCTTTCGCTTGTGTTTGAGATAACATTTGAATTCTCTCCAAGCAGGAGGCAACTTCTCAATCACAGCAGCAACTTGGAATGGTTCATTAATAATCAATCCTTCACTTTGCAAATCACTGATGATAATTTGCAATTCTTCCAACTGGTTGACTACCAACTTGGTATCAACCATTTTATAATCTAAGAATTTTCCAACAAGGAATTTCTTAGTATCAACATCTTCCAACTTATACTTCTTGTCTAATGCCTTCCACAATTGCCTTGAAGTATCAAAGGCATTGCAGTAGACATTATACAAGTTATCATCCAGGCAACTCAGGATGTAGTTGCGACATAGAAAGTCTGAATGTAACCATGCTTGCTTGACATTTAAGACGTGAGCAAAATAAACCATTCATTTGTTTTCATAAATAAATAGTATCTTACATGTGGATTGTGAAAATGCATCAAAGATGGTATCTGATTTGATTGTCATATAATACACATTAAGACATGGACAACATACATGATTTGAAGATGCAATTGTCTTTTCTTCTACTTCTAAACAAATTCGAGCGAGCGTATAGCATAGGCAGGCAATGGAGATCAATGGAGAAGCCTCAAAATCACCCATTTGATGCTTCTTTCCGTGTATACCCCTCCAAAAGTTCTAAAAACCTTATACGCACAAAATCTTTATCATGTCTTGAAAATATGGAAAATAAGAGAAAGTGATGCTAAACTCAGACAAAAAATAATTGATTAAGTAGACTGTGTTACTAAAGAAATCCACCCAATTAATACACCTGGAGGAATGGATTCCCTAAGCCTAAACCAGTTTCAACATACTTTCAAAAAATGCATTATCCTATCATTTTCAATTTTTGTCTATTTTGTAATTTTAAAGTGATTATATTGATCCCGTTGCTTTTAAAAAGTGGCAATTTCGTAACAGTACTATATTCAATAAGTTTTTTTGAAATATTGTCATAATTTTGTATTAAAAAAGTGACAATTTTGATCCATTTATTTATTTTTTAATATTATTTTTTTAAGTCGATTGAATCTCCATCTGCCATGGGAGTCCTTTGTTCCCTATTTATATTGAAATTTTATGCCATGAATATTGTGAATACTCGAGATGAAAGAACTTACGATTGTCTCGTAACATATATTAACAAGCCTCACCATTTAAGCGTTCTAGATCATAATTTAATATTAAGAAAGAGTTATTACCATCATGTGTAACACATATTTATGTTCCCAATTTCTCTCTACTTAGGGTATATGGAATGAGTAATTCAAGTTGAAATTGTTTGGTTTATTTTTACTTTCTTTTTTCAAATTATACACAGTATAAATTAATTTAAATAAATAGTATTAAAATTATTGTAGATAGTAATATTCTTTAGCTATTTCAGTTTAAATTTCATTTTCCTCCCTAAATAGGTTTATTGTTACATTTGAGTTATTCAACTATAAAAAAAAATATATTTTAGTCTCTAAACTTTTGAAATTAATAATTCTAGTGGTTGATGCAATTTTTGGGGAATCCGGGCTGAGTCGAAGCTTGGGGTCGATCGAATCGAGCTACCAAGTGAATCGACTGTCAAGTGATTGAATGAGGATTAATCCATAGGTTGGAAGAGCTTAGATCTACAACGATAGAGAAAATAAGAGAATAAACACCGGAGGGAAGCTGGTTAGATCGGGAGTCGGTGAACCAGATCGACCACCAAGTGATCAAGGAGATGTTGGGTCTAGCTAGGAGAAGCCGAGAACCGATAAATTGTGAATAGGGGAAAGACGATATCTTGTTATTTGGAAGACTGAGAGAGTTTATAGCCTTCACAAGATCTTGTCTTTGGAAGTTGAGGCGAACGTAACCTAAGAGAAGGTGAGTGGATGCCAGCATGGTTCTAACCTACCATACTCCGATGCTTAAGTCGGTATACGAGTTTAAGAAGAGAGAAATAAATAGTGGCTTGAGAGAAAATGACGTACCTTAAAAGATCATGAGTTATCTATTTGTAGGAGATATGACAGTGTGAACGAGTTCTTGAAAAGTCATATTTTGCATTATATTCCGTCCTATAATAGAATCGATGGATGCGCCAAAGAGAGGCCCGCGCTATGACAAAACTAGAGCGCACCACATAGGTACGGGCTTAAAAAAGTGCCCAGGGATACCTTGGCGGCCAAACGGGCCCACCACCCTTGTGGCGGTGGGCCGCGCAAGACCCACCCAGCCCCTTATTGTGCGGCTGTGGAGATTGTTCCCGCACAACCAGCCGCACAATGTGCAACCCGCTTTGGGTAATCAGTTGGGCCATTTTGGGCCCAAATTTATTTAATTTTCTGGGCTTTTAGTCTGCCCAACGTTGACCCTAATACTAATCTCTATGCTTGTTTGTGTTTTTAACAAATGAATAACACCCTTTCTTTTTGCGGAAATGAATATTTCCCGGTCCTTTCCCATACGAATTTACCGAATTGACCTTCCCATCGCCGCAGTGTTCCGGACGCGTCCCTCCACGTCATCCCACGTGGGACCCACACCAACATGAAACGTAAATGCTCGTCACATTCACCCCAAATTCAAATGCAACTTGTCTAATCACCAATTCCACCATCCAACGCCTTACAATTCGCCACGTGCGAACAACTCCCTAGATCTGCCGTCCATTCCAGCTCATTCGGTCAGTCCACCGGGCAGCAAGCCACAGCGTGTGAACCGCAAGATCAGTAGGCGAAGCATCATCCACGGTCACTGTTCTGCCCGAAATTTTCACGGGTAGATCTGGTCGCCTTTAAGAACACCCCCAACCCTCGTCATTGTTCGTCGCGCGCAGAAATTAGGGCGAAAGCGTTTTTTCGCAAACCCTAATTTCCGTTTCCTTATAGAAATTTCATTTTTTGTTTTGTTTTGAAATTTTCTTTTTTGTGGGTTCGCGCGGAGAAGAGGAAGCCACTGGAGTTTAATTTTCCCGCCTTCTGTTCTTCTTCTTCTTCTCTTGTTGAATTATTTGTTCTGCTGTGGGAATTAATTCTGGCCGGAGCTTCACCGGAACTCTGTTAGGGACGTTGTTGGGGGTGTTGGTAGGTGTTTCATGGCATCGGCTGTTCTAGCGAATCGAAACAACGAACCCAGTTGGCCGGCGAGCAAACGCAACGGCGGTGGAGGAGGAGAGTTTATGGCAAGAGTTCCGTTCTCGAACCCTAAATCTAAACCTAATTTGAAAAAGAGGCAAATTAATGGGGAAATTAACAACTTTCAGATGGGTGAACTGGCGAACGTATCAACTCTGTCTCCCTCGGATGACGCGTCTTTCATCGATCGTCAACGTGGATCTTCGAACACTGGCGAGTACAACCAATATGTGAGTTTCAGTGTGGCTTCGTGTTCTGGGAAGGATTTGGTTGAGCTCAAGAGACGGTTAGTGGCCGAGCTTGAGCAAGTGAGGCGAATCAAGAATCGCATTGAATCTGGTGGCATTGGTCTTGGCCGTAATCATCATTTGAAGAAATCTTCCAAGACGAAGGGGATTAAGCGGGCTCGGCCGCAGCTGCAGCCGCCTACTTTTGGAACCTTGGATTCGTCGGACGTTGGAAATCTAATGAAGACGTGCTCTCAAATATTGAACAAGTTGATGAAGCAGAAGTTCGGGATGATCTTCAACAAGCCGGTGGATGTGATTGGGCTGGGTCTCCATGACTACTATGATATTGTTAAGCATCCTATGGATTTAGGGACTGTGAAATCTAAATTGGCAAAGAATTCTTATGAATCACCCCTGGATTTTGCCGATGATGTTAGGTTAACATTTAACAATGCCATGATTTACAATCCCAAGGGTCATGATATCCACATCCTGGCCGAGCAGTGGTTGGGGAAATTTGAGGAATTGTTCCGCCCTGTTAGTGAGAAGTTGGATGGACTGAAGCAGCAGCCAGATCTGTTTGAAGAAGAATTGCAAGCCAGTTCTTGGAATGATATAGAGATGGAGAAGAAGCAGGATAGTAAGGAGAACTTCAACTCAAATGGGGACAACAAATCAGAAGAAGTAAGAGTGCCATCAAGCTCATCGAAGCCACCTTCGATACAGTCACCAGTTAGAACCCCGTCACCGGTGCGGGCCCCTCTGGTAAAGCCTGTGAGGCAGCCGAAGCCGAAGGCAAAGGATCCCAACAAACGGGAGATGAGTTTGGAGGAGAAACACAGATTGGGAGTTGGATTGCAGGGTTTGCCTCCTGAGAAAATGGATCAGGTCATACAGATTGTGAAGAGGAGGAGCGGACAATTGAGGCAGGATGGGGATGAAATTGAGCTCGACATTGAGGCAGTAGATACCGAGACCCTCTGGGAACTGGACCGGCTGGTGACCAATTGGAAGAAAATGATGAGCAAGGTCAAGCGGCAACCTTTCTTCAATAACAATGCAAATGCCGATTCGAGTAAAGCGAATGAGGTAAATAGCGATCCACAACAATACATAGTCCTTGCTAATGGGTACACTTTATTTGCTTTCATTTTGCCATATTGCTGGTTTAGCTGATGGGATTTTCTCTGTTTTTCTGTTATTTTTGGTAGACATCATCTGCAAATGAGATAAATGAGGTTAAAACAGAGGCGAAGAAGGCAAGAAAAGGGGACGTGGGTGAGGAAGATGTGGACATTGGGGATGAGATGATGCCAATGGGTGGTTTCCCTCCCGTAGTAATTGACAGAGACGCAGCTGCTCATGCTAGTAGTAGTTCTGAAAGCTCAAGTAGTTCTGGGAGTGATGATTCTTCCTCGTCCAGTGGTATGACTATTATCAAGTTTGTGATCCTGAGTCATAGAGAAAATCTTCTTCTGTCATTCTCAATTGTTTTCAATTCTCTTGTAGGTTCAGATTCAGAAGGGAGCTCTTCCGACAGTGATTCAGATGGCGATGGCCAATCATAGGTGTGGGCATTTTCATTGGATAGAAACTACTCAAACGTGGAGCTAACAGCTTTCTGAACAGGGGCCTTCAGTTAAACTAAATTCTGAGGTATGATGAAGAACCAGCTTTTCCAGCTTTTTCTTGTTGCCTTTCATTGTTTATTCTTCATCATGTCTGAGGAAAAGCGAATGTGGGTTCATCACGATCTTAATTTTCCTGGGTAATGACTTTCAGACGTGAATTGTGGCTGCTGATGAAAAAGAGAGGATTTTGGAACTTTGGACCTTTTCACTTTGCGTGTCATTCCTTGATCGAGGAAGGAGCTTTCATGTGAGAAAAGGATAGTAGAACAAAGGAAAAGAAATTGTAGATATCACGAGCTTAGATGGAGAGAGATTCTGTGGAAGGAAACCAGTTTTCTTTTTTGTTTGTTTTTTTTTCCTCTTTTTCTTAGAAGGTTTCTTGTACATAAACAAACACATTTGTTGATTTCCCAGATTGTATATATCTCCTGTTTTTTGAGGTGAACTGGAATTTTTTGTGTTTATACAAAGGAAGGAAACACAAGAAGATATGTTTCTCTACTGGTCAGTCAAAACATGTAATTTAAGGAATGATTTTATAGGTTTTTGAATCTGATAGTGTTGGAATTTGAAAATAGGATCCCAAGGTGGGTTGGTTTCAGTTTTCAATCTTTGAATATTTTGTTTTGGCAACATGACTCACTACTACTTTTCAAGCAACTTTCCCAGGTGTATTTTTTTCAAAGTTGATGTTGATGTCCTTATCCTATTGAGATGATTTTAAATTTAAACTCCGTTTGCTTTATTTTAAATTAAATATTATATGCAACTCACAAACCAAATGAATACATAATTTAAGTCCCATTACTTATTAAGATATGTTCGTTACTAAGTTTTCAAAAATTTTACCTATTCAACGATAATTGACACGTCTCTGGTGAATAAGTTATGAGTTTAAATTAGCCTGAAACATCAAAACTTGGAACATGAAAATTCTTAATAAACCTAGAAACTTATCATAAATATCATAGGAAAGTTCGAACAAAACTGGCTTTTGTTGACGATCAATCAACCAATAAAAACGACTCCCATGGACAAGGACAAAACTGTCCAACACATCAAACACTAAAAAAAAAGGTTGAAAAGATAAGCTCCACAGCTTTGGCAGTTAGCCAATCTGAGTTGCTTCCCATTGCCAATAAACCTATAATACTTCAGCTACAAAAAATCAATCTATATAAAGACAATATATTATCCAAAACTTCAGAGTAACTAATTTCTTGCTTGTACTGTTTTGCCTATCTGCCAAATGCAAAGAAACAATGCAGAAAAACAGGACATCAAAAATTATCAGCCTAATCATTCTTTCTATACTAAAATACAGAAATTTTTAACCAATGAAGCGTACAACTTGCCCAAGATTTGATCAAAATTTTTCAACATTAAGTTCGTAACTAGATAAGATATTCTATGTGTTTATCACTGTGTTTAAAAATAAGAGAGAATGATACCACAACCATCTGGGGAAAACCAGTAAACGCCTGCGTCAGGTCATAACCGGTAGAAGGTTGTTTGAGTAAACCCCTAAAAAACTTTTCCTGGAAGCAGAATTCTGAACCTTCATTCGAAGGACAGAGTTCAACTAAATCTTTCCTCCATCCATCAAACTGCATGTGAAAATTTTGCTTCATTTTGAAGCCCAAATAAGTGGATTCACCAGAAACTTGCTATTCTTCTCTGGTCTAGGACTGGATGAAAGTTCACAAGAATAGAGCATAAATGAGGGTGAAAAACCTTCAGTTTTAGCCTTACTACGCTATCATTCACAATGCTTCAATTTACTGAACTGCTCGCCAAGTTGAGATTCACATACAGCAAGAGCTTCGGGAGCTAAGCTTGTAACAAAAGACTTGTTAATGTTAAGAGAGGATACGAATTGGAAAATCTTGCCACAAAACTTTCGTACATCAGCTCGCCGTGCCTGCTTTTCTGGCATATTTGTCAATAACTCCTCTATCAAATTGCATAGTTCATGCATAAAGTTCTCCATCAATTCCTTTGCCACATGCTGTCCATTTTCAGAAGAAATTGATGATTTTATTGTCTCGATTACTAGATCTAGCGCTTCAATTCGCCGAAACTCTGAATTTGTATCAATGCATCTCTCCAGAAGATAACCATACAGATGATGCCCAACCCATGACCTTCTTCTAATTATCTCTTTCAAAAATTCGGCCTTAATCTGAGACTTTTTACTATGAAAATAATCCACCAAAACTCTATCAAAAATATCGAACACTTTCTGTAGTTCTGGCTTGGACAATTTTTTAGCATCAATAATCTTAAGAATCCAAAATGATGAATTCTGACCCAGGGAAGTGATCATCTTGTGATGATTCCGTGATACCGACTGCTTCTTTTTCGATAAGTTTGCAGCAGATTTCTTTCTCTTAAATGGTTTTGATGCCAACTTTAGGTTCTTCTCCAGCAAATTTTCAAGCATTGACATTTGAACGGCTTCTCCCTTTGGGTAGTCTTTTGCTTTGAAAATCTTCTTTTGCAAAATTCCCCATATCCGCTGTTCCAACTGTTCGCTACCTTCTGTTGTATGTGGGCTAACTAACGCTTGAGCCAGATTTGAGAGCACTAACAAAACCTGTGGCTTACCTGTGCCACGAACCAAAAAAACAAAGTTCAGAAAACTAAAAAAATATAATTACTCCACGACAAATGGAGATATTGAAAATAAATTACTTACAAAATACTGGAGTAAAATGGAACGATGTCCAAGTCCAAGGTTTTTTACTTTTTTTAAAGCAGAATAATTGAAAAAACCAGCTTCCTTTAAGATAAATGAAAATATAGAAAAGGACCAACAGAAAAACAAAGGACTAACCAACAGACGGGAAAAAAAATAAGAGTCCCAACAGTTGGTGATTAAGAAAAAATAGTTACAAAAAAGTTTTGAATGGACTAAAAACAAAGTTATGTTCCAAGTCAGCTTTGATGGACTCTCTCAAGGGACTGAAATGAAGATTTCAGCATCTGTGCGGGGCTTGCAGCAGTTGCTTGGTTATGTGGAGTTCTGGAACATCTAAACTCTATCGAAACAACCTCCATATATCCAAGACGTATTAAAAGGAAAAACAATGAGCCTTGGTACATAAATACACAACCGAAAGAGAGGCCTTTGTAGAAGTTACGAAGATAGCAGCAATTGGAGGAATGTAAAATTTAACCATCCCAATGAAAGATGGCAGAAAAGGGTAGAAAAGTTTCTTAATAAGGAAAGGAGATCTGAATTCACCCAAGAGATCTCCCCATACGCCTTGGAGCCCTCCAAAGAGACAACAGCTACCGGCTTCTCCCCTCCATTTGAAGAGGGCCAAAGCTTGCAACTTTCTTGTTTCAGATTGTTTGAAGAAGAAGAGATTAGGACCCAAAGAAATATGGTAGAAGGAAAAAAAAGGAACGACATCACTTAATCCACAGTTGAATCCTCGTATGGTTGAGTGGAAAAGACTACAGTTATAGAAGAAGGAACTTTTATTAGAAGTTCAAGATTTTGATGACGATGAGAAGAGTTGGTTAGTGAGTACTGCTGTATCAACATGTTGCAGGCTAACACGGTTATTCTCAAATGCAGCAACAGAGATGAGGCCAGCTATGTTATGCATTAAAGCTGGTCATTAATTGGAAACCTCTACAATAAATCTCAAAGATGGAACATAATCATTCATGGGAAATATTTGGTTACACTTTCATCCTTGTACAATGCTACAGTCAATGAAGGAAGCCTTCCTTGAACCTGGGAACAATCTTTTTCATTGGCAATGCTTTTGATGGTTTTGTGGATTGTGCTTTAACTGCCTGAAATTATTCATTAAAGTCCATGGAAATTATTTGGGTTTCATTCCAACAGAAGTTACAATTCCACCTTCCTAGTGTGACAGTGTCCATGGTGCAGTGCAGATAACATCTTTCTTTAACTCCAGATATCTATGTGGAAGAGAGGTGCCAGCTCAAGGTGATTTCTCAAAGAAAGGAGCTTTTTCTTTCATTGACAATCCTTGTGGTGGCATTGTTGATTGTAAATTGGGCTCTAACTACCTGAAACCATTGATTAAGGTCTAAGGATTATTTCAGCTTCATTGATATCGGGAGTACAACTTTATCTAACTCCCAATATCAATTGGAAGGGAGGTCACAGATCATGGTGCTTTTTCACAAGAGGAGCCTACCTAAATAGAGGCCAAGGAATAAAGTAGAGGCTCTCAGAATAAATTCAAAGAACTTGATCTTCCCTAAATTAAGAATTAAGAAAGAGGATCCTGCTAAAAGTAATTGTGATGGAAGCTAATCCCAATGTGGGTGTTCTCCAGACACATAGTTAGAAGTGGGTAAATGAAGTACCATTATATTGGTCTAGTTTTCTGGAGGCTTATTTATTATGTAAGCCTAGATATTGTTGGGTCGTCAGGAACTAGGAAGCATCATAGTTGTGAAATAACAACTCTATTAAAGTGTCTAACGTAGTCAATATTTTCTTCATCTCTTCTAAATCCTACAATAAATGTAACCATTTAAATTTTAAATTGCATCTGCAAAGGTCCTAGAAGATCCAATCACAAGTAACACACCTGAGTTTTCATGCAAGTAAATTTCCAGAAGTGACAGAACGCGAAGCTTGAATAGCATAAGCTGTGATTGGGCAGTTTCACTCCCAGCCTGACTTTTTCGCTCTTTGAAAATTTGGGCGAGATAAGAATCCATTCGGAACATTGCATCATCATCCATTCCTCCATCAGATTCAGAATCATCAGAACTGTCAGAAAGTTCTTGGCCTACTTCTCCAACTCTATCAATGGCTTCAGATTCATCTGTATGTTCATCACTATCACCTGAGTCACCACCAGCTTCAGCTTGATTAATTTCCTCATCTTCTTCAACATCAAGAAAATCTTCATCCTCATCATCTTCATCCTCTGCATTGTGATGTCTAGAGGGTTTCAGATTTTTCTTAACAACCCTTAACATTCTTATCAGCCCATCATCAGTGATATCACCACAGAAATACTTGAAAACCTACAAGACAAGTCTAGCTATAGTTAGATTCTCTAAGGAATGCATGTGCCAACGATAATGCTAACCTATTCAATTCAATAATTTCCCATCGACTGATTTTTTACATCACGTTATGCAAATCAAGGAGAGATAAATCCTAAATATAGATAAAGACACAGGTAGTTTACACCACAAGGCTGGCAGGAAAATATGATAGCAAGAGATCCAATGCACCAGTGTATTTTAAAAAAATATAAAGTGCATTAAGATGCATGGAGCAAGACATAAAACAGATAAGTTGATCATATAGAGCACATAGTGTGTGTGTGTGTGAGCATGCAACTTGTGTGAACGTAACTTTAAATGATATACCAAGGAAAAAGTTATGAATAATGTAAACTTTAATACTTCAAATACCTAAAGTTGCTAGTAAAAAGAAGGCAGAATTAATAGATCTATTATTAGGGGAAGAAAGTGAGAGAAGAAAATATATTCGAAAGAGAAGGACAGGACCTAATGAGTGAGAAAATAAAGAAAAGAAAATCATTAGTGTTAAAAAAGTATTAAAGAAGCTAGCACTCACTATTCACACAAAGCACACGCCTAAATGAGGTAAAGCCTTCTAAAACAGAAGAAAAATTGCATAGTTCTTTCAGAAGAAAAAATTGCATAGATGAGACAATTTACAAAAGCTACCGAAGAATTTCAACTACGTATTCCACTTGCAAGAAATAATTGAAGGGGAGTATCACAGAAATCCATAAAGTAGCACTCCAAAGAGAAGCAAATAAAATAAAAAGACTTTAGGACTATAATTAACAACAGCAATGCCAATTTTTTTCAAGAGGATGCTTTTTTTTCCTTTTTGATAACGGGGAGTCGGAGCTTTGCATCCCTATACCCAAAGGCATCCACGCCTGCCCCAAGGTCTAGACCTAGGAGACATTAAGGGTTTTTGGTATTAAGCTCACTGGAAGATTCGAACTTGAGACCTCTAAGCCACTATGACCAAGAACCCAAGCTCTTGCCAACCAGGCTGTCCCAAGCTTTAAACAGGATGTGCTACTTAAAATCAGAAAATGCACAAATAGAGATTGATGTGAAAATAACAGTTTCTTAACACTAATGTATACACAATTTGCGACATTCCGCAATGTACACACCTGCTCAATAGCAGACCTCATGGGTGCTGAAGATTGTGGCAGCAATGAAAGCAATGTGTCAACAAGAACATCCATTAACTGGGGTGTTCCATCACCATCTACCTCATCATCTCCAGACGAGCCAAGTAGATCAGCAGAAGAAAAGGCCTTCTTACAACATATAATTAGTTCCGTTGCAGCCTCAGTAAATTCCTCTGGTCGAAGGAGCACTTGCAAAAGCAACTGGATGAGCAAGTACCTTAGTGCATGTAATTTGTTTGCATCGGCACTTAACCCGTAATTCCTTTCCTGACACCAAAGCAATGTTTATTAATGAATAAATTAACATTTACAAAATTGCATGTTGATTTTCAAATTTAAAGGAAAAGTATTAGTCTTTGATACACAATATAATATAGGAGTTTTAGACTGGTTAAAAAAAAATTTGGACCATTTCAACAACTCTAATTAAAAATTTCAAACATGTCCCCCAATTCGATTGTTTACATAACTCAACATTGTACACAAAGTATAACTAGCTTACAATTAATATTAATTAAATTAAAAATTTATTAAAGGTAAAAAGTTACCTCTCTCCATAACCTGGTTTCCATCTCTTGCAGTTTTTTTAATGCGTCTTCATCCTCATTACTTAGGCGACGAAAAAGAGAAACCGAAGGAATGTTGCGCAAAGTACCAAGAAACCTCATAAAATAAGAACCAAGATCATTTGGCTCAAGACCATTACCCAAACCATGAGATCCCTCTCCCTTCTGAGCATTTGCCAGTAACAGCTGCAGTTGTTCAATACACATCATGCAAAGAGCACTAGATGTGGGAGCTTTTGGCCACTTAAATTTCTCCTGCAATTCAAAAGATGTCACTTCTGTGCCAAGAGATGCAGTGAACAATCCCTGAACAGCTAGAAACTTCAAAACTTCTTTCTGCACCCGGAATTTTGCCTCAGGTTCCAGCTTCAAGTGTTTCAACATACATGGTAGAGATTCTATAATCCAAGTTCTCAAAAAATCAGAGTTCCCCATTGTTCCAATAGAGTCTTTATCCTCAACAGAACCAACCTCTGAGTTGTCATCAGTTGTTTGACTTTGATCTGAAGGTTCTTCTGATGTTCGACTTTCATCCACAAATATGTTCATCAAGTTCTGAATAAACAGAATGCAACCCGTTTCTGTTTTGAACTCGGACATCAAATTTTGGACTGCTTTTGTTCGTGTAATGCAATCAAACTTTCCATTACTGTGCTTCTGTAACGCCACAATCACAGCAACTTTTCTGACATCATCATGCAGTGCCCATTCAGATAATTCTTTCAGAAAATTCTGCACAACCTTATACAACCAAGAATCCTTAGTTGAAAGTATGTCCATCAGACACTGAACTACTTTATATGACAGCATAGCAGGCACAAAATTTGCTGGCAGTCTTGGCAGGAGAAGCAGTAGAACATCAAACACCAAGTGCTTGCGGTCGTGAGATGATAGCAGAAGTGATCCTTCAACTACAACTTCAAAAAAATTTTGGAAATTTATCAAAATTTCCTCTTCAGAAGAGCCACTTTTACGATTCTTTTTATGCTTCTTCAAAGAGGTTGAAATTGATGATGCATCTTGAGTTTGCAAAACTGAATCTGGCAACAGAATGTTTAGCAGAACAGGCCATATGCTGTGAATTCTTGGCTGGCAAAAAGTAGACTCCTGCCAAATATCATGCACAAAAAGACAAAAGTCGGTGATCCACTTCTTAAATTTTTATCACAATATAAATATTATTCGGGTAAGTAGATGGATACTTCCAAGAAAGCACCTTCAGACAGTTGGCGAGGGATGACAAATGATCAACAGCAAAAAATCTGCTAGGACTGAATGGATTTGGTAGAAGCTTAACCAATGATGGACAATCAGCAGAAATCTTTTCTCGTAATTTTAAAGCCAACAGCAATGCATCTGGGTTCCCAACTTCAGTAGCTGCTTCAAACCACTCTCGAATTCCTGGAGCTTCAAGCACGTTATTCAACACCACCTCAGGTGTCATCTACAAAACCGTAACACCATTTTCATGAAGAAACAATAATTGAGTTGCAATAAAGAAACGTTAAATAAAGACCAATTAGGTACAGGCATGAGCAAAATTGTCCTACATGACAGAAGAAAAACAGCAAGCAAACACCAACACATTTACAGCCATTTTGGTATCCTTATATCATTTCCAAAAATAAAATTAATTCTAGGAAAAATCGAATCACCCATTCAATAAATAAATAAGGTAAATCTCATTTTGCATCATGTGAAACATAAAAACTAATGAGCCATTACAATTTAACAAAAATACAAAAAGAAGAGTGGTTCATCCACCCACCCATTTAAGGCCAAATGAGCAAACAAAAAGATGCCCCAATTGGCATTCTAAAAAAAAATCAAAAGTATATACACACACAAAACAGACATGATAACAAGTCATTTTCTTAATAAGTTATATATGGTCAAGTTTTTTCCATATGTTCTTCAGAGTAGCTTTTCAGGGTTTTTTTAATGACAAGTCATGCTTTAATTGAGAAGAATGAAAGAATAGAAAAGGGCATACAAAAAGACCGCCCAATAAAATGAACCAACTTTAAAAGGGGCTTCAATTTAACGAGATCAACCCTGAGGGGTAATTACAAAAATCTTTGGCTCTGAGGCCCAAAGAGAAATATGAAACCGAGCAAGAGCTCAAAACTCCTCCTAAGATCTCTTGACTTCTTTAAGAATCCTGTTATTTCTCTCGTTCCATAGCCCCCACAGAACAACAAAAAAACCCACACACCACAAAAAATGCCCATTATCCCAAAACGAAGAGTGAAGGAGAACCTCCTCCAACATTGAACTACACACTCTAGAGCGAACAAATCAAACTCAAAACGCCTAAAACAAACAATCCAAAACAGAGGATCCAAACTGACAAGACCATAGGAGATGATAATGAAACCCCTACAAACTACAAAGAATACAACACTATAGCCCTATCAAGAAAGAAGAATGCTCCGTAATGCAATCCAACACAAAAAATCTAACATTCCTTGAAATCTTAACCTTCCAAAGCGAAGAAATGAAGAAGTAACAGAAGTCTCCCGACTTGGACAATAAGGCCACAAGATCTAACGTAGAACAAGGATGACAGAAACCAAAAAACCAAGGAAGAAGCGTTGCCCAGAGAAGGCAAAACTGAAGCCACTAATCAATCCCTCATGGAAGAAAGATGATACAAGCGAGGAAACAAGGAGCAAAAAAGTCTTATCCTCCAACCACTTATCCACTCAGAAGTAGGTTTCATTCTCATCCCCCATCAAACAATGAACGAATGAGGAAAGGATGGGAAGCCAGAGAAATAGTTATCCACAGATTCATGGAGGTGCCTTTAGAACCCCCGTTTGTCACTGAATCAAAGGGATGAGGATCATACTTACTATGACCCTACACCACAGAGTCGGGCTCCTGCAAGAAACACCATGACCACTTGGCCAGCAAGGTTTATTACGCCACTTTTGGTTTCATTGAAACTTATATTAATATTTGCTATATGAATGAACAGTTCATTTTAAGACCTTTAAAAGCTAAATGTTAAGAACCTTAACACACCATTGAAATGGTGGCCACCCAAAAGTTACTCTATACAATCATCTTTGATTGAGAAGCACCAAGATAGGCAAATTAATCAAAAAAAAAAATACTTGGTCAATGAAGCCAATTTTATAATTCTATAGATCATGTATAGACTTATTCCATGCATTCATAAACGAAATGGAAACCAAATAAAATTATTCCTAAAGTATCCCATGGATACAAAAATTAACATCTATGAAAATTAAATGTAGAATATTTTTTAAATGAATTTAGAATATAATATCACTATTCAAAATTATATGCTTACAGAAAAACAAGTACAGCATTTCTCATTAAAAGAAATATTTTTTCCTAATCATTGTTAAGAAGTCCATGTGCTCCTTAATTTAAAATAATAAAAAAGAAGTGTCCCCTAGATGATAGGGCTTGATCTATAAACTTGATAGAACTTCAAGGAAGAGTATATCATTAAATAGACAATATACCTTTTCTATCAATTGTACAATAATTGAAACAGCGGGCTCTTGCAGATAACGTTTTTTAGCTGCAAGAGATATAAGAACACCGGTGATCTCCTTAACATGTGAACTGTTTATATCAGAAGAGCATTTTTCAGCTAGTCTTCCCGAGTGGACAAGAGCACCATAAGCAAACAAGCGACCCAAAAGACAGTCCCTCGCTTCCTGCATCACCATCAAGAAGGGATCAAGCAACAGAAAAAAGATTTAACCAGAACGCAGCAACCATATTATAGCCTGATAGAATACATCAACTGTTGTTTACCTGGCCCTTCATCGATGAAGAAACCTCTAACATATTAACTATAAGTTTCAGCAATGAGTCCACCTTGACGTTGGACTGTGTGCCTATCAATGCAGTAAATCCTAAGGCAAAACCCTGTCTAGCACACTGCAATTGCAGTTCATAGCAAACATAGGTGAAAAGTTAGGATTGCATCACATGGAAGAAATAACCAACAGAATCATCCAATATTTTGTCAACCAGAGACGGCATGAGTTTCAGGACAAACAAAGGACGTGAGGAAAAGATGTGCATCCTAGAGCATGATGTCCATTGAAGACACAGAAAACAACCTAAAAACCATGTGATTTTTCGAAAGAACCAATAGCATTTTGATACGATTATTATTATTATTATTTCTTTGGTAAGAAACAAATTCATTGATGTGTGAAGTTACAAGAAACTTCTCCAAATGGACAAAAGTGAATCAATATGATAATAATGAAAAAGGGGAGATAATATACACCAAGACATAGCAAGGAAAATGATGTCATCCACGTACATCTGTCAGATAATTTTGTTACGATTAATAAATAGACTAATATGAGATGATCATTTTTAGAACTCAATGACACAGCTAAAACCTAGGTCAAGACTAATATGAGAAAATCAATGCACGCTAACTCTACTTTTGAGTTTGAGCATAAAAATTTGTAATAGTTAATTTCATCATTGAATTTTTTGTTCCAACAGTTATTGTTATAAAATCTGCTTTTGAAATAACATTTCATTTAAATACTAACTATTTTTTTATATTTCAGAAATTGAATTCATTTTTTGCATTGGCCTAGAACCTTGAAATTTGTGAAGATAGCCTGGAATGTTATCCACTTACTATACTACTAAAAAGGTACTACCAATGATGCTTCCGAGCATCAATACATACCTCTCTTGAAGAAGACATGCCTCGAATCAGTCTACGTACAGCATACCTAACAGATGGTGCACAATTATCCAAGCCATCATCCTTCTCAGCTTCCAGTTTTAACCCACCCTCAACCAAATCCTTATTTTCGATTTTGTCATATGCTTCTTGAACCTTTAGCAGCTCAGTTGCCAAAGCTTCTGCAGCTGATTCTCTCACAAAAATGTCAGCAGATGCCAAGTCCTTGAAAACACTAATATGAAATTCAGGGAGACCACTGCTTGAAACAGACACAGAAGACGGCTTAGTCTCATCAGCTTTACAGTTAACACTAATTTGTTTTTCCTTGGACTCTCCACTTTCCAAAATAGCTCGCTTTCTCTCTTTGTCGAATGTTTTTCTTTTCTTTTTTCTCTCCATGGGTTTCTCAGAATCAGGAGTGGTAGAAGAGGGGGTATTAACATCCCCATCTTCCTGCTTATCCTTCTTCAATTTTTTCTTTAAGGATTTTGAAACAGCACTATTGTCACCCATTAATGTATCTAACTGGATCTCCATTCCATCTGTTGAGTTAGAGCTTCTCTTTTTACTACCCATTGTGCAAAAGAACTATCTTGATACTTTCTGGTATTAATAATAAACAGATGAAAAAAGTAACAGTCACTATAAGAACATATAAAATTAACTGGAAATTTTAAGAATGCGCGGATCAAACTTCAAAGAAGTAACAGTCACTTTAACTGGTATTTTACTAAAACAGTGGTGCTTACTGAAATATAGGGATTTTTGACTCACCGTACGTTCTCAAAGCGGCAGAAGAAGAAGAAAGAAGAAGAAACGGCAGAAGTAGAAGAAGAAGGAAGAAGAAGAAAGAAAGAAGAAGAAGAAGAAGAAGAAGAAAGAAGAAAATTAGGGTTTGGGATGGGAAGAGGGTAAGTTTTAAAATAATGACATTTTAAAAAGAAATTACAAAAATAATGTTAATTTAAAAATAATAACTAAATAGATGTAAATTAAATAAATAAATACAAAAGTAATTTAGGTTTTTGAAACTATTGACAAAAATAGGTTAGATCAAAGGAGGGATCAAACCTCGCATACAATGGACGCTACTTCCGTGCAACTTGGATTGTCTATGTGACGGGTGAGGTGTTATTGACGTGGAAGTGTACGCGACTTCCAACGGAAGTTGCAGGCAACGCACGCGACTTCCAACAGTCGCAGCCAACGCACGCGACTTCACAGCCGATGCACGCGACTTCCACGGAAATCGCACCCAACGCACGCGACTTCCACACATTTTTCTTCTTTTTTTTTCCGYTGAAGTTCCAAACATTTTTCACCTTTTTTTTGGTGAGTTTTCATATATATTTTTTATTATTACTTTTATTAATATTGCAAAATTAATTTTATTACTATTGAGTTTTCATATTTTTTTATTGTTACTTTTATTAATATTGCAGAATCTATTTTATTAATATTGCGAAATTTTTAATTAAGATGCAATTAATTATTTTAATTTT